CCCCCCCCCCCCCCCCTCCTCCCCCCCCCCCTCATGGGGGGGGGCGGTGCGCACAGGAGCGGCCGCACCGGCTGCCTCTGCGCCTCCCCGCCGAAACAAAAAAAAGACCCGCCGCCGTCGCGACACTGCTGTCTCTCTCAAACCAAATGCCGCGCGGCTTCGTCACGCCCTCCGAGGACGCGGGCGGCTTCGTGTCGACTCCCGAGAGCAAGAGGCAGACCCGGAATCCAGAAATGTCACCGCCGAAGCCCCCGAGAGTCCTGCAGCCCACCGGCAAAGGGAATCCCGCTGGGTCCCCTTTAATGAAAACGGCTGAGCGCAGATTAAAAAAAAAAAAATGCAAATGTTCAGGCCAAAAAAAGTTAATCGTTTATTCCTACGGAATTCACCTTGCTCTCTCATGCCCTCTTGTATACTTCTTACTGCTCTAGGAAACATTGTTGCTTTCGTCCAACAATGCGAGAAACCGCCTGGGGCCACGAATAAGAGGAGGAAAGGACGGTGGAGACACAGATATCTCAGACTGTGAGATGTGTGTGTGTGTGTGTAAATGATATTAGAATATAAGCACACTTGTACTTTTAAGAAGAAATAAAAACTCAATTATCTACGCTCCGTCTTTTTGTAGAAGAAAGTAACATTTTAGAAATTAACATAGCCAAAACCTAAAAATCATCTGTAACTAAAGGATTCTTCAATATTCTTTGCTGTTGTATAAATTTTTCATCCAGTGTCTGTTTCTTTCTCACATTTTATTTTACAAAAAATACTTACTTCAGTCTCCGCTGTTTTGCTGTAGTAAATCAAATAGCTAACAAGTTCTGGGCAAAATAAGCGATCAACCTACCATATAATAGTATATTTATATTATTTTTCAGTTAATTCTTGTTTCATGAAATAAATTCAAAGGAATTGTTATAGCATAACATGTTCCAGGTAATTCATCAAGTTGAAATCCCATCCCACGCTTTGTAAATGTTTTTAAAAGATTATGTTTGCTATAAGACTTGAATAATATCGAAGAGATTTATTTGCTTTTATACAATAAGAATGGACACAATTCTTCAAACATTGTTCTTGATTAGTAAATTTCACATTGTTTGTATAGTTTCTGTTTTTCATTCTTTTAAAATTGTTTATTTTACATATTTTATTAATCACTTTGTTTAAACATTTAAAATTATTTTTAGTGAAAATACATTACTATGGTGTGTTTCTGTGAACTGTTTTCACAAAAACACTATTAGTGTATTTTCACTAAAATTAACATTAATTATGTTAATTAACATTTTCTAGCCTTTTTGTACAAAATGTAGTACTGAATTGTCCTAAACCATATGAAAATATTAGAAGATTTTGAACACTGTAAAATTATACACTCTTCCATCCCTATTTTTGTATATGTTAAATTTGACCTGTTTAACTTAATTCTTAGTAATTGTTAATCTTCTTAGAAAATGATATATTTCTGACTTTTTATCTCAAGATTTTTCAAATACTATTTTAATTTTATTTATGTACACTCATCCTCTGAAAAGGAGCATAACTGATGCTAAGCCTCAAAATTACTAACATATTTTTTGCATTTTCTGTGATATATATAGATAGCCCTCAACTTACGACCACAATTGGGACGGAATTTCCATCGCTAAGTGATATGGTCATAAAGTAAAATGTCACGTGACTGCATCGCTTAGCAATGGCAATTCCGGCTATGCCAGTTGCCATCATTAACTGAGAATTGCAGGTGGTTAAGCAAGTACCCACCCCAATCCAAGCCATTTTGGGCTTGGTCCCTCCCGGCCCCAATACGGTAAGGGATTGCCTCCAACTCCCCCCATCCATCTATCTCCCCCCTATCTCTGCCTCTTTGGCCACCCTGCACCCTGCCTTGTGGGGCGGCAAGCTTGCCATGTCAAGGGAAGCCACAGCCACCCCAGCCCAATCCCAGCCACAGTTGCCCTCGTCACCCTACACGCTGAGACCCCTGCCACTCTATCGCCCCAGCTGACCTTCAATGTCTTCTTGCTCCCATTGCTGATGAGGCATGCCTGGCCTGGTTGCTGGGCTGGGCTGGGGCTGGGCATTGCACTGCGGAAAAAGTAGCAGAAAGCCCCTGAGCCGTGGTGCACCAATAGCCCCTTTGAGCAGCACTGCTGGATGGGGTGGGGCGGGGCTGGGCTTCATGCTGTGGGGAAAAAATGCAGAAAGCAGCCCCTGAGCCACAGCACACCAAAAAGCTCCTTTGCATGAAGCATCCCAGTGCTCGAATTTTGATCATGTGCGCGTGGGGCGCTGCAACAGATGTAACTTCAGGCATGGGTTGTAAGTTCCACCATAACTTTGAACAGTTGCTGAGCAAATGGTCATAAGTCAAGGACTACTTGTACGTGTGTGTTATGTATGTGTGTGTGTGTGTGTGTATACATAGGTAGTCTTGGACTTACAACCATTTGTTTAACGATATTCAAAGTTACAAGAATGCTGAAAAAAGTGACTTATG